TAATATAATAATGATGTGCTTCTAATAATATTGCTTTCGCCAGTGAAAAAGTTGTCTGGTCAGGAGAGAAATATGCACAAATCATGTACCATTTACAAGCAAAAACAGTTCTAAACGAATGTGTTTTGGTGTGTTTTATGTGAGAGGACAACAGGAGACGGACTTTTGGAGGAAGCTTTATTATGGATCATGGATGGCAATGGTTTTGAGGTTAAAAACATCTTGATGCATTTGTTTCTTACAAACACACAGCTTTTCGCTTCACAAGACATTAACTGATGGACTGGAGTCTTGTGGATTACTTGTGGATTATTGTGATGTTTTTATCAGCTGTTTGGACTCTCATTCTTACGGCACCCATTCACTGCAGAGGATCCATTGGTGAGCGAGTGATGTAATGCTACATTCTCCAAATCTGTTCTGATGAAGAAACAAACTCATCTACATCTTGGACAGCCCGAGGGTGTCCATTTTCAGCAAATTTAAATTTTTGGGTGAACTATTCCTTTAACTAGCTAACTCGAGATGTTTTCTTAATCATTCACGTGAATCAAATGACCAAAATTCTAACATCAAGCCACCTGCGATTCATTCTTATAGTAAAGCATGCTTTTTCATAGACACCAATGATTATACTATAATAAATGGATTTATTAGAAGCAACAGATTGTGGCAGCTGGTTTTGAAGTGTTTTATAAAGACTTCCGCTCCGTTCTGTTGCCTCAATCGCAGTGTACCTCACCTAACATTTGCTTCCTTTTTGCCAGACAGCTTTTTAATTGCACGTCTCAGAAGCAGGTATTTGTATCCTGAGCTGCACTTGTGGCAGGATGAGCTCTCAGATGTGATTCTACATGGATCATGAACCTGGAAACAACCTGTTTCACAATATAAGGCCTTGTTGCTTGTACATTGGGGTCCAAAAGTCTCCTCCAGTCAAAATGCTTCTGTGTTGCATTTATGATTAGTAACCTTTGAAATAGAGCACAATCTGAAACGTTTCTTCATTAAATCTTCATTGTTTTATCATATTCATGTCATTTTTAAAAAAAAATTCTTATATTTAAATCTTAAATCTTATATTTTCTATGTGGTTTCAGACTTTTTGACTCATCTGTATGTGGCAGTAACATTACAGTGTTGTGAGTCTTTGTGATATGTGAAATACGACACTTTCATCAATTTTATACTCTACAGCATTCATCTTTTTTAACATTTTCTCATTGTTCATTTTTTCCCCCTTAAAATGTAAACATTTCCCGTTGAGCAAATGAGGCTCATGATTGCAGTTGAATATTTCATTTGAATTTTTCCTGATTGTTATTATGGTGGTATTTTAAGGAGTAGCTCTTTTTCTGGAGGATCCTAAAGGGTTTCTGAAATCTCCTCAGCGTAATCCGCTAAAACCGTGTCTTATTCCCCTGAGTCCAGTAGCCGCATAGTGAGGGGACACTGCTAGATGCAAACCTGTTTCTAATAAGGAAGAGTTTGTTTCCAGAGACAGGCTCCTTAAGAGTGTGTGAATGCTTTACGTGGATGCTGTTAACTTTTAATGAACTCCATTTCCCCCACAGTGAGGCTTATTAAACTCCACAAATATTAGTCTACTTGAGACAAAATCTGAAAACTCTACATTTAATGCATTGAATTTATTCTTAATATATATATATATATATATATATATATACACACACACACACATATGAGTTGCTTTCTTATGTTGAACATAAAAGAAGATATTTTGAAGATTGCTGGTAATCAAACAGTTGGTTGCCATTGACTTCCATAGTATTTTTTTTTCCTACTATGGAATTCAATGGCAACCACCAACGACGTGAGGGTGAGTAAATGATGACAGAATTTTCATTTTTGGGTGAACTATCCCTTTAAGTGT